AAGGGATTGAACAAGATAAGAGTCGTCCGTGCGCGCCGAACGCTCAGGAAAGCGGTCCGAGGTAGTTACGTTCAGGCACCAAAAATGTAGTTAGATACATCGGATCTTTTTGAAATTTTAACACAATATTTCTACATATATATACATTCGAAAAATGTAAAAAAAAAAAAAAAAAATTTTTTTAAATTGCAGAGTAGAAGGTCCCCTTAAGTGTCTCTTGATCGAAAATTAACGTCGAACAGTGTCGTGAAAATCTGCAGAAAGAAAATATTTGGGAAATTTCAAAGGGTTCGTCGGAACGCGTTCGTGCATTTCGTGCATGCAGAGAGGTTTTTAGTTACCATACATATTTTAGTTACCATAAGGAACTTGTCTCATTTCTTCAAATTGAGAACTTGTTTACTGTGTAATATATTATGTATTAATGTCAATAAAACGTAAAATAATTTTTGAATGTGGTAACAATATTATAATAATAATATTAAAACAAATAAATCCTACAATTATCCTACACTTGATATTCTGCATTCATCACATTCTCTCGAAACGAAGATTTTAAGAAGGTTTCACTTGCTACACGTGTGATCTGCACACATGATATTTCAAATCACTCCCAATTCTAAAGAAGTTTTCACTTTAAAAAAAAAAAAAAAAAATCATGATAATGAGAGAGAAGGGATTATAGAATGAAATAGGAAAATGTGAATGAACAATTCATAGTAAAATTTGGCAACGATACAATTGGCTACATGACTTCGAAATTTTCTGAATTAACTAGCAATAATCATCTTTCTTTCTAAATTATCTATACAGGATTGTCGAGTGCCTATTTACTATGTACAAAAAGAAAAAATGAAAATGAAAATGTTTTATAAATATAGATCATCGTAAAGGTTTGTATTGCAAAGTTGTAATCTAAATTGTACGACTGTTTCTCTAAATGTGTTATCGAAAATTGCTTTGACCCGGTTATGCAAATATGAGTATGATATGAGTGTAATAATACAGTTTATGAGGAGACGTATAATATACTTGTTGGGTTTTCATTCATTTCACCAATTACATTTCTAATTTCGTACTACTGTAAACGTTAAGTTGAATTATTTCAATTGCTTAAAATATATTGTATACTTCATTATTTTGTAATTGTCATTAATTATGAATTGTTTTCTGTGGCAAATGGTGCAGCATATTTAATTATACTCATAAAAAAAGAAAAAGGAAAAGAAATATTTTAATTATTACTTTAAATTAATTTTTAAATCACCAAATAATAGGGGGAGGGGGTTAATTGTTTTATAGTATTGTAATATAATTTGAAATAATATAATATAATATTATATATAACATAAAATATATAAAATAAAATAAAATAAAATAATGCAGAATAATATAATATAATATAATTTAATATATTATAATATAATATAAAATAAAATAATATAATATAATATACTATTAGATAATATAAAATATAGAAAATATAATAAAAAAATAATTTAAAAAAATATAATTAAGAATCCTAAATTATCTTTATTTGGAATATTATTACCGTTGCACACATACGTAATGTTCGGAAAGTCATATAATCAAGATTGAATATAAAAATTTTGACAGAGGACAACTCGTCAGTCTGAAGGTGAATTTTGAAGAAGACGATACTCTGATCATATATTTCGTACTTTTAAACATCAATACACATTCCCATCGATTAATTAACAATAACAATAATATAATTTAATATAATATAATATAAAATATTGAGTTGGCAACTAAGTTACTTTTTATTTTAAAAAACCATTTAACATAATCTGCAATCAATTATTTGCCAACCCAATTAAAACAATATTAAAAAATAATTGATTATCATAATTATTAAAATTTTTGAAACGTTTTACATTTGTTTATCTAATTATTTAATAAATCAAAAAATACATTATCATATTATCATCCACTTGAGAAAAAAGCTCTAACGTAGAAATAAAATGTTGATCTGGCACAGGTCAGATGTTTTTGATGAATCGTTTCTTCGATGGAGCCTTCCTCACATTTGGCATCGACGTACTTAGGTTCCTTGAGTCTGATCAAGAGGACCGTGTTGATCCAATGATTTACGTATTTCCACGAATGACAAAATGCACTTTCTACAAATATGGCGTCAGTGGGGAAGTTGAAAGACACGATGCCGTTTGCATATTACCATTGAACGTTGTCAATGAAAAAATCTACGTCTTCCTATGGTTTTGGTTCCTTTTCCTCGGCATATTAAGCTTCTTAACGGTATTATACAGGGTTAGTATTATAAACAAAATATCATCTTTAGTATTTTTTTTTTTATTAATTATTATTATAATAGCATTGTAAAGTTTCAAATTGTTCGTAGAGAAAGTTTTGTCGTAGTGAAAGTAAATGTTAAATGTTAAATGTTAGATGATAGTTCACACAAATATTTTCATACTTGCATGTATTTTTACACTTCCTCTTCCTTATTGACATAAGAAACAAATAATAAATATTTTTTTTGTTTTTTTTTGTTTTGGTTAATTGGAATTTTTTTTTAATTATTTATATTATTATATATTTATATATATATATAATTAATTAATTAAAATTATATATAAATATTTATTATTTATATTATTATTTTAATTATTATTATCTTTTCGTATACTTTTGTTTAAAGGGATACATACATCATACATCGTGTAGATTTTTAAATTGGTACACGTATTCAAATATATCCAATTGTTTTCCTATAGTTTCTTTCCCATATAATATTTAGTTTATACAGTTTTACGATAATATTACCGATAACAGGGCATATCGGTAAGGCTTTTACTCGTGGAATCTGCTAATTTCGTAGTTTCTGGCATGCTGATAACCATACGAGATAAGGCACGCAAACGAATTAACCCTTTTACATTGGAAAACAGATATTCTGTGATACTTCTGCACGTGTGTGCGTGTGTGTATCTTTTACATGTGCATAGATAGTTTACAGTTTCAACAAGTATTTTTTCATTTTATTCAAATGATAGATACATTATTTATTTATACATTCTTAAATAAACGAATGAAATCATTTTCAAGAAAAGTATTAAATAAATATTCTCTTTTAGATAATTATTTATACAGATATACAATGCGTATGTATTCATCTACGTGTAAATGCAGTTTCTATCTTTTGAATTATTTTCTTGGATATATGCATTATTTAATTATTTAAGAATGTATGTGTTGAAATGTTGCATTATAAACATATAACGAAAAGCAATAATAATAATAATAATATTATTTAATTAAAATATTTACAATATAATTTATAACATATAATTGTGTAAAATCAAAATTAAATTCTTTGATACACGTAATATTTAATTATTTAAGAACAAATACACAAATGTTGGTTGAATTATAAAAATAACCAAAACTAATAATAACAATATTATTTAATTAAAATAATTCTAATATGTGTGAAATCAAATTACAAATGAAATAACATTGTAAAATTATTATAATTTTACAGATCGTAATTATATTTTCGCCGCGAACGAGGGTCTACCTTTTAAGGTTGAGATTTCGTTTGGTTAGAAGGGATGCAGTCGAGACAATAGTACGACGTAGCAAGGTCGGTGATTGGTTTCTCCTATACATGTTAGGGGAAAATTTGGACACCGTAATATACAGGGACGTGATGCACGAATTGGCAAATAGGCTTGCATCTAGGCATCATCACGGTGTACCAGGTGGTAAAGGTGAATTACAAGAGGCCTGATCTAGGTAAGTGTAATCATTAAAATTTCATTACTATCCCACATTGATTTAAAAATAATAGAAACCATTTATAAACAAAGAATTCATTTAGTATAAAAAAAAAAAAATAATTTCTTCTATTTTTTTTTGAGTTCTATTTTGAAATTTCGTAATACACTAATTGGTGTTCAGTTTGTTACATTTTCTATATATATACAAAGTGTGTTATAAGTAATGTTTGAAAAGATTTAAACAAGTATGATGATCATGATCACGATGATGATGATGATGATGATGATGATGATGATGATGATATACATATGTATTATTTATGTACATACATAGTTACATTGATTTTAGATCGTTACGTATATAAAGCTCGTTAAAAGTTTATTTTATTTGCATTTGGTGGCAACACATCACCACGTACGTATGTACGTACGTATGTTGTATCTCATCTTTACGTTCCTTTGAAATCATAGGATACTCGCTTGTTGATCGATATTTCAACGATCGATATTCTCTCAAATTGAAAAGAGACAAAGAGAAAGATAGAAAATTGATGATTACGACACCATTCGTGATTGGTGGTTACTATTTAAAGCTTTAACATTCTCTTTCAAATATTTTATCTTCATTTTCATAGTTACAAGGTTTTGCATTATGGTTTTAAACTCATCTTGAATTTTTCACCCCCCCCTTCCTTTTATTCACTTTCCCCCTTTTCTTCTTCACCTATTTGTATTACCAGTTTTAAACCCATCTTGAATTTTTTACCCCCTGCCCCCCTTCTTTTATTCACTTTACTGTTTCTTCTTCACCTATTTGTATTACCATTCTGAAGATTACGACTCAGTGTGTTATAATGTAATGCAACTTTCTATTTCTATCTTTCTCTTTCGATATGCATGCGTATTCATGATCACGACGATATCAAAGTCCGTTTCCATAAATTTTCTATTCAACGAGCACCCTGACGTTTACGAGTTTTCGTCCTATTTTGAGAGTAGGAGGATACACCATACAAGATGACGAAGAGATAGGGTTGCATCAAGAATTATTATTTTTTTTTTTTTAAATATTTTTATGCAATGTATTCTATAATCTATCTTGTGTTTTATTTTTTATTTAAGAGGGACAAAAGTGGTAGGGGTGGAATAAATTTTTTATCTTTATTTTATGTATATTTTATTTGACAAATTATTTGATTGTTTTGATTGATTTTATTGTAATAATAATAATAATTATTATTATTAGAATTGAATTATAGTGTTTTATGAGAGATGTTAAATAATGTTAAATAATATTATAATTATTATAATTTAAATTATTAAATCCTTAACTTAAGTTAGTAAACACTTAATTATTAAACACAATATATTAATATTATAATTGAAATTATTTTAATTATTATTAATTATATAATTTAATTAATAATATTTTTATATTTTAATTTAATTAATTATATATTTTAATATTCAATTAATTTAATTTAAATTATAATATTACATAAAATTATTAATATAAAATTAATAATGTGTTATATATAATATTATTCGAACAATATTTTTAATTATTAAAAATATATATTTTGTGTATTATTATTATTTTATTTTTTGAATACAAAATTTCAAACTTATTCTATATATGACAAAATAATAATAATTATTATTTAATATCTAATTAAAATAAATAATTATAATTATGATAAATATAAAATTGAAACATTTAGAATTATTTCATTTTGATATAATATTTAAATAAATTATTTATATATGATGCATTTATATCATTTATATTATTTATTTATTTATGTTTATATCAATTTATTTTATGATCAAGCACACAATTGCAAACCTTTGTCTTTTGATCTTTGTTGAACAGGCTGCCTCGGAGGATCGAAGGATTCCAACTACGCCGAGGTTCCTCCTCCCACATATCTTCTTGTCCTTTGGAATGGACGTGCCGTTGTCTTTTTCGTCATCGTTGGTTCCTTTATTAAAAAAAAAAAAAACAAAAAAAATGGGAGGAAAACTCACAAGAACAAACCAAAACAAAAAATCCAAAGAAAAGAGGAATCCAAAAGAAAGAAATATATTATTATTATTAATAATAATAATAACCTTTTACGTGTTCGTACCTCGAAAAGGAGAAGGAGGAGGAATAAGAGAGGGGGGGAGGTCCTTCTTTTATTTGATTTTAATGCAAGACTATTAACAACTATCGATATTTCAATTCGATTCGTATTAGCATCCTTCGAAAAGTAAACATTCAAATTTTCAATTGACAATTCATTTTCAATTCTATCATATTTTAAAGTTAACACGTTAAGAGTTAAAAGTTCGCGACGTGAATTTTTAGACAAATTCCTGTCAGGCCACAGACGTTACTTTGTATTGAAAAAATAGTTGAACGTGTCAGTCACTTGTGACTGACGTGGCCCAAACGGAAAGTCTAATGTCAGTCATCGATGACCGACGTGGCGCTCAACGTGTTAAAAAACGAAAAAGGGGAAATGAGAAAAATGAAAAAAAAAAAATCGAATCGTTTATTTTTCCCCCCCCCCCATAATAATTCGTGAATAGTTCGTACTTCTTTCTTCACTTCTTTTTCATAACTAAAATTTGAAGTAAGTATTATTATTATTTTTTTTTTTCTTATCGTAGGATGCTAATCGAGAAAAAGACAGACTGCCGGTGCATAATGCACCTCTTTACACGTGCCTTATCGTTCGAAACGATATCGGTCTTTTAACGGACTAACGTATTTACGTACTTACTTATTATATACATACATTTACATATACACACAATACACACAACATATACAAATATACGTTTATATACGTTCATACACACGTTACATGACTTTTCTTTTTTACGAAGAAGCACACGATCGATGTGTGCGTTCGATATCTTCGTAAAAAAAAAAAAAGAGAAAAAAATAAAAATAAAAAAATGAACGGCCTATTTCTAAATCATTTTGTTTCTTTTCTTTTTTTTTTTTCTTTTTTGGTCATTTTAATTTGAATTTTGCAAGTACAGTAAAATTGATTGAAACGATTAGGGAATAGGAAAATGAGATACATTTTTTTAATTCTCATTTGGTTGTTTGTTTTTTAAAGTAATTATCATCGTACGTGTTTTCTATGTAACGGTGATGCAAATGATCTAGATAAGATGAGAAAAGAGAATATTACGGTGTTTTGTTGGCAACGGTCCACCATTTAACCAACATCACGAATTACAGATTCAAATATCTGGCAGCTTTAAAGTTTCTCGTGAGAAGAAACGTAATCGTTACGAGTCAACGAATACCAAGAAAAATAATAATAATAATAATAATAATAATAATAGTTGATGATTATTATGATTGACTATGATGATGATGATGATGATTATCATCATCGCGAATATTTTATTTTGTTTTTAAATTATTTCATATTTTATATTACAAAGTAAAAAAAAAAAAAAAAAAGAAATGAAGTGAGATAGGAGAATAAAATGAAAAAGAAAAAAAACAATATGAAAGAAAAGATATTAATTAATCGATAAAACCCCATATAAAGATGGGGGTATGTTAATATTATATTATATATATATATAAATATATAAGCACTGCCATCGATTGGATAGGAATGTCGAAGGGAAAGTGGATCTCGCTGTACCTGTCTTTAATTTTGTTCGATAAATTGCGAGATAATATCATTAAATAAATCAACATTGTGTCTTTATTTCAACGATATATATATATTATTATTATTATTTGTATATAATGTTTCCATAGAATATGTGTGTGTGATCATAATTTTCTACATCCCTTTTTTAATATTATATTTTTTTAAATTATTCAATAATTTCGTGAGAATTATAAATGCGTGTATTTTATGAATTGATAATATTAATTAATGTTCATTGAAAAATAATCAGAAATTATTAACACAGGGATTATTATTTTAATATTGTACCAATCAAATTAAATGAAATGAATTTAAATACTAGATTTAATTTAGTATTGTAATAAATAATTTATATTAGGTCATTAAGTATGAAATGTCGGATTACCTAAAGCCTCAAGTTTGATATCAGGTATCTTCAATATTTCACTTCGATCGTCCTTTATTTTTTTTTGCATTAAGAAGGTACGCCATCTGGCTTTCAGATGCACTCTTTTGCTTTAATAGTCTATCGTATTGTCATCTGAAGGTTAAATATTGTAAGCCATCGATAAGACAAAAATGTGAGTTATTTTCGAATATGAGTTCCGTCGTGGAACTAATGCAGCGCAAAAAAGCCTAACTGTTAACGAAGTGTTCAGCAAAGATGTGGCTAACGAACGTACAGTAATTCGATGGTTCAAAAAATTCCAATCTGGAGATTTTGATCTTCAAAATGAACCACGCGGGTGGCCTAGAGCAAGGTGGATGACGACCAACTGAAATCTGTAGTGGAAGCAAATCCATCTGAAACGACGCGTAGACTAGCAGCAAGGTTTGAAGTTACCATCCTAACAATATTAAGTCATCTGAAAGCAATCGGGAAAGTAAAGAAGCTGGATAGGTGGGTTCCGCATGAGTTGAGCGAGCGTTAGCAACGGAACCGCTTCGAGGCTTGCTGTTCTTTGGTATTAAGACTAAAAGGGAATCCATTTTTGCACCGGATAATCACGTGCGATGAAAAGTGGATACTTTTTGATAATTGCAAGCGTTCGGCACAATGGTTGGACAAAGATGAAGCGCTAAAAAACACACCCCAAAGCCTAGTATACACTAACAAAAACTAATGGTGTTTGTTTGGTGGTCTAGCGAGGGTGTTATACACTATAGTTTTATGAGACCTGGGCAATCGATAACAGCGGACCTCTACTGTGAACAGTTAGAAGAAATGATGAGGCAGCTGTAAATTAAGCAGTCGAGATTGATCAACAGGGACAGACCAATTCTTCTGCAGGAGAACGCTCGACCACACGTTGCAAGATCGACGTTACCTAAACTACAGGAACTGGACCTAGAAACACATTTGTTCACCCACCGTACTCGCCAGATCTCGCTTCAACCGATTACCATTTTTTCCGAGCTTTAGATAATTTTTTGAAAGGAAAAATATTTAATTCCCAACATGCGGTGGAAAATGCCTTTCGCGATTTTATCACCAGCTGCTCTCCAGATTTTTTCGCTAGCGGTATTAATAAGCTATCGTTAAAATGGCAACGTTGTATTGATAGTTTAGATCCATATTTTGATTAATTATATTATTTATTGCCCGAGATATAATAAACCAAACTTTCGGTCCCAAATCCGACATTTCATGCTTAATGATCTAATATTTATTTTTATTTATTTAATATTTAAATTTATGAATTTAAATACTAGATTTTTTTAATCTAGTACTGTAATAAATAATTATTTATTTATTAATATTTATTTTATATATTTTATTAAATTTATTTATTTAAATATCAGATTTAATCTAATACTGTTATAAATAATTAATATTTATTTTTATTTATTAAAAATTAATTATTTCAATTAATGTATTATTTTTTAATTTATAAATTTATAAATGTAAATACTAAATTTAATCTAGTACTGTAATAAATAATTAATAGTTATTTTTATATATTTAATATTTAAGTTTATATATTTAAATACTAGATTTAATCTAGTACTATAATAAATAATTAATATTTTATTTTCAATGAATATAATATCATCAGATTAGTGTTTATAATTTTTAGAAAATATTACACACTTTACGTAAACGCATATTACATATCCATATATATATATATCGTACCGTTTCCTTAACATTTCTAAAAACAAAAGAAATAAGAAAGAAAAAGAGGATGAGAAAAATGTTAATAATATAAAAAGAAAAACTCGTATTTTAATATAATAAATAAATGATTATCATTCTCATTCTCATTTTCACACATTTTAAACTCTAATGTAACTTAACAGGAACGGTTAGATAACATTACATATTATGTGGTATTATATACTCAAGTATATCGAATAAGTAACGAGTTTGGTTATTCGAATGGTCGTTTCTTTGGTGATGGTTGCACTTGGTGCAACCCGATGCACCTCTACTTCTTCTTCTTCTTCTTCCCCTTTGCCCATATTCGGAAGTATGGTTGTGAGTGGATGAGAGGACCCGAGAGAAGACCGGTCCCCCATAACTTATCCTACGTATGAAGAAAACAAAATAAGAAATGTGTTATGTAGAGAGATGAGAAACGAAGAGAAGACGAGCAAACCAACCAACCAACCAACCAACTAACCAACGAACCAACCAACCAACCAACGAACTTTAAAACGTTTGAAGTTTTCTTTTTTTATTTTTCTTTTTATTTTTCTTTAACTTACCTCTTCGTATATAGCTTTTCTTTTTATTTCTTTATCTCTTTTTCAGATACCGTCGGTCATCTTAACTTGGTACATCAGGTTGGTAGAAAACTTGCTTCTCGAATGTAGAAAGAGAAAGATAGAGAGAGAGAGAGAGAGAGAGAGGGAGAGAGAGAGAGAGGGAGAGAGAGAGAGAGAGAGAGAAAGGTGTGAATATATACTTTCTTTAAAACCCAGACGAAAGTGAACGTATTATTTCTTTGAATATTCATGTACACATGTACAGTTTACGAGAGAAATATTTTTCCTATGGTATTTTATCTTAAATTGATTGAAACTTGTTTATTATATTTTTTATATGTATATTTTTTTTTGGTAGAGGAAAAACGTAAAAATTGATCAACATCGTTTGACCTTTTTCCTGTTTTTTTTTTTTTTGTTCATTGGAATTTCGTATAGAAAAGGAAGTAATTTAATTTATTTATAATACAAAAATAAATTTAATATCATTGGTAATTGTATAATAATTATTTAATATTTTACTTTTGTTTTTTTTTTTTAATATATTATATAGATATATATATTTATAAATTATATAAATATAATTAAATAATAAAATTA